CCCCCCCAGCCCTCAATCCTGAAAAGTACATGTTTTGGTCGGTGAGTTTATGGAATGTCCCGAAGAAAGGTTGCGGGGCGGTTGACAGAAATCGGTTTTGCCAAGCGGGTCGTCTTTGGTTAGGGCTCTTTGCAAAATTCCCTTGGGATGGGAGGCAAGTCGGAGAGACAGATTGGCTGGCCAGCAGCGCTTCTCTGAAACTTGGAACCGCACTAGTCTAAATAAAGCTGGACGCTTGTGTCTGTTTGTCGGGAAGGCGAAGGGGAAGGGGGACTTTTTGGGAAAGTCATGAGAGCACTTCACTACCTGTAAACGTCCCAGAGTTCAAATGGAAGCAAAGAAAACCACATCTGGCCGGCAGCTGGTGCATTTTGTCCCTGTGACCTTGTTGTTGTGTGCCTTCGATTCATGTCCGACTTATGGAAACCCTCTCCTGGGGTTTGCTTGGCAAGATTTGTCCAGAGGAGGTTTGCCATTGCCTTCCTCTGAAGCTGAGAGAGTGTGACATTTAAGACTGTTGTTGTTGGGTGTCTTTAAAATCATTTCTCACCTCTAGCGTCCCTAAGGGGAACCTATCATGGGTTTTTTTTGGCAAGTTTCTTCGGAATGGGTTCACCATTGCCATCCTCTGAGGCTGAGAGAGTGTCACTTGCCTAAGTTGGGCTTCATGACTGAGCTGGGAATCAAACCTTGGTCTCCAGAGTCCAGCACTCAAACCACTACGCCATGCTTGGCTCTCTGTGCAATAAGTATCAATTCGTATATTTTAAGAGCTCTAAAACTTTGGTGGATCTGGAGGCCAGTTTTCTGTTTTGGGAGCCACATGGACGGCCAGAAATTCAAAACCAGAAGCTTGTTTCAAATAACCTAGATTTTTATTGTTAAACAGGACAGGCATGTTGCAAAGGGATCTCATAGCATTTTTGCAACTGTGTGGAAGAAGTTATAGCGTAAACCAGGGGTAGGCAACCTTTCCCCTTTAAGGGCCGAGGGACTTCAGCTCCCAGAATCCCAGGAGCTATTAGCCAACATGGGACTATTGGTCAACATGGCTGAGGCTTCTGGGAGCTGAAGTCCCTCGGCCCTTAAAGGGGAAAGGTTGCCTACCCCTGGCGTAAACCTTTCATACAGGTGTGTTCTTGCTCTTGGAGATGTCCCAGGATAGGCAATTCAGCCTCTGTTTCTTTGGCCACTAAAAAAGTGGGTTTTTTTGGGGGGGGGTGTTTCAGGACTTTGGGGTTCAGGACTACAAAAACAGCTTAGTTTGCCCGTCTCTGTTTTAGAGCCGCAAGACAGCAAGATTTCTCAAGAAGCCAGCCTCCATGTTGACCCAAGTTATGCAGGAATCAAAAAGTTGGCCCCGAAATTAGCATTTAGCATTTTGAAACGGAAATGAGCATTTTTTTTTCTTTTACCCCATGAGTGAACAAAACCAGCCATTATGTCCTGCGAAGCCAGAATGTGATCTGTTCTCCACCAATATGTAAGTCAGACCGCTGCTGTTTAGGGCCATTTGTGTTTGCAACAAGATTTTAATCTCCTTTATGAAAGTCAGCTCTAGTGAGTTAACTTCCAAACATGAGCCACAGTTGGCCCTCCATATCCATGGATTTTTTAACTCATGGATTCAACCATCCATGGCTTGAAAATATTTTTAAAAAAGTATAAATTCCAAAAAGCAATTTTTTGCCATTTTCTATAAGGACACCATTTGACTATGCCATTGTACATAATGGAACTTGAGCATCCATGGATTTCTGGTATCCGTCGGAGTCCTGGAACCAAACTTCAGCAGATACTCTATATAGGGATTGTCAAAGGATAGACAGGATTTAGAAAATGTAAAATAAATATTTTTAAAAGTATAGCATGGTGAAGGGATTGTGGATATCAAACTTAAGGGGTCAGAGAGGTCTTACCCCTATGAGAAGAACAAGCCTTGTAGAGGCAGAATTCGGCATGGCTTCTACAAAGAATGCCTAGCCTTTCAAAACAGATAGGTTTTTAAAGGATAAAGGATATTTTTGAAGGATGTTTTTAAAGGATAAAGCATGTTTTTAAAGGATAAAGGTGTTCAGTGGCAGGGAATGAGAGTGGCTAACCATCAAGACTAGTAAGTAAATACTGGAAAGGATTGCTAAGGCTGGGATTCTTACTCCTAAGAGAAGAAGAACCAGCCTTCCTGAGGCAAAGAAATCCTATCCTTCAAAATTTCAAGAATGAAATTGAGATTGCTCGTAAGGATGGGTGTGTGTCAAGGGGAGGCAACAGTATAGTTTTGTTAAATCCTGTTTAAATCCTGATTACTGCTCTCCCGGTTGTGCCGCACCATCACAATGTTGTTTGGAGCAGGGCCTTCACGGTGGTGGCACCTCCTTTGTGGAATTCTCTTCTGTCTGACCATTGAGATGCTCCCACCTTTTTTGGATTTCAATGCACATTCTAAACATATTTATTTTGAGCAAGCCTTGCCTTGTTTTACTTCAACCTGAAATTGATTTTTCCGCCTTCAAAATTATGTGTGTGCTGTTTTCTATGCATCTGAGTTTTCTTTACATTTTACTGATGTACGCTGCTCTGAAATGTTTGGATCTAAGGGGTGCATCAATACCTTAGCAATAATGCAGTTTGACTGCACTTTTAAGTGCTTTGGCTCCTTCCTATGGAATCCTGGGATTTGAAGTTTTACAAGCTCTTTAGCCTTCTCTGCCAAAGAGTGCCGATGCCTCCAAAAATGACAAATCCCATGATTCTGTAGGATGGAGCCATGGCAGTTAGTAATGTCAGAATGCATTATTTCTACAGTGCAGACAGACCCTAAGAAATATGTAAATATGTGCATATAAATAAATAAGATCTACAGTAGATCCATTGAATCAACAGTGAATGGTGAGTCAACCTGTAGCTGAATCCCACTGGTTCAAGGTGGGTTTATCAATGGGATTCAGGCCTTCCTTTGCCCATAAGGATGTGGTTTCACAGGTGATGATGCCTTGAAGGATGCAATTCTTAGCACAGAAAGCAAAAGGAAATAAAACATTTCTTAAAAGACGTTGAGGTCCAGTTGATGAAAGCTGATATGAAAGCACCAAGCCACAAGAAAATATAAAAGCTGTGTATATATGGACACAGGAACTTGATTGCAGAGAATACAAGTATTTTATGCCATAGGGAAGATATTTGACCCATTTTACAGCTGAGGATAACTGAGGCAAAGCCTGTGGACATAAGAAGAACCTTCCTGGCTCATCCGAGGATTTGTGTAGTGGAGCCTCCTGCTTCCCCAAAGCTTGGGAAAGTTACTTTTGGGGATGACTACTACCAGAATCTCACAGCAAAGGGCACAATGGCTGGGAGATTCTGCCAGTTGTCCTCCTCAAAAGTAACTTCCTCAAGCCTTGTACTTTCCCACAGCAACCAACTCTAGAGGAGCACGCACTTCCAAGTCGATTTACATCTGCTGGAAAGTTTGAATAATTTCTGTGCTTTCAGATGTTTTTGATTGGGCAGAAAGAGAGTTCCTTTGTGTCACAAAAATGAGTTAAGAAATTAATAATAATAATAATAATAATAATAATAATAATAATAATAATAATATAAAAAGGATGTTCCATTGTGTTCCCCTCTCCTGTTCCAATTGAAGCATTTTGGCTTGCCTTTCCTCCTGATTTTAAGGAAGAAATTGCTAATGCAGTATCAAATAGTCTGGGTTTTATTTTTATTTTTTGGGGTAGGGAGGGAGAGAGAGGGAGAGGATATGCTCTCCTCCAAACTTGCGGATGCAGAGGTCACAAAGCTTGCAGGCAAAGGGAGGTCGTAACCTTTTTGCAAAAAAAGGACCAGCAAAAGGATGAAGGTGGTGGGGGTGGAGATGGTGGGATTTTCTGCCCCTTGAAAAAGGCCACTTGATTGCATGAAGGAATGTGGTAACAAGATTCAAAGGAGGCACACCGAGCGAGTGAGCGAATGAACGAATGAACAGACGAACGAAGGAGGATTAAGCCTAATTATTTGCCCGGCTTCTTGGGGAAGGGGAAGGATGTGGGTTTGTGTAGGAAATGATGAGGAGAGGGAGAAGAAGGGCAGACAGGTCTAGAATGAAAGCATCCCACTGACCCCCATTTCAGCTATGTGTGGAATGTGGCATTTCAGAATTGACCATATTAAACCAAAAAGGCCAGCCATTTCCAATGGTATTTCTCTTTTCTAAAGGTCAGGGGAAAGGTTCAGGGGTCTTCAAAGGGAGATTTCAGCTCCTGAGAATCGATTAGATACCGGACTACTTTCAGTGAATGCGTTCCTGGGCTGCTTCTTTAACTGAAGATTTGGTACCAGGGAAAGAAATTGGGATAGGTTCCTTCTTGTTGTTGTTTTGCGCCTTCAGGTCATTTCCGACTCTAAGACAAAGTTTTCTGGGCACGTTTCTTCAGAGGGACTTTGCCACTGCCATCTTCTGAGGCTGAGAGAGTGCGACTCGTCCAAAGGCACCCCAGTGGGTTTCCAGGGCTGTGCAGTGATTCGAACCCTAGTCTCCAAATCCTCAATGCTCAAACCACTAGAGTCCAATGCTCAAACCATTACAGCATGCCCAAGAAAAAGAAGGAGAGCAGGTTGACATGTTTTAGCAAACGTTTTAGAGTTGGTCCTCCATATCCATAGCATGAAAATATTTTACAAATGTATAAAGCAAATATTTGTAAATGTTTTTGCCATTTTATATGACAGATACCGATTTACTAGGCTATGGTATTTAATGGGACTTGAGCATCCATGGATTTTGGTACCCACAGGGGTTCCTGGAA